CCGCCTTGAAGTTACTCCTGTAGGGTGATCACTGTTCCCTTTCGCATTTGAAGCATCCAAACTTAACCGGGCTTGTTCCCTGTCTAATCCAGGCAGTAGGCAACTACATTTAATTTACCACGCTGATGCCACATCACTGGGGTGAACTCATGCCTCCCCTTGCAACATCATGTGGCTTTGCACATAGTTATTAAGTACTTTTGATGTTCCTGTTTTGAATTTAACGTAACTCTATGGAGCATTATTTCTTTCAACCTGCCCTTTTTTCTTTTTTTATTCGCCATCTTAAACTGTTCTCCATGGTTCATGTGATGTCATCTTTGGTATATATACTGATTTATCTTAGGGGATGGGTATCTGCAAGATTGGGTATTTGGGTCTGGAAAAGAAGGTGGGGAAGGAGGTAAAATTTTTTTTTTGCAAGTTGTGATTTATTCTCGAAGTATTGAAAATATAATTTTGAAGTTGCTAAATTTACCCATCACTTCTTAAAAATCAAATACATGTTTCAGAAAATGTACAAGGAATCAGTTTACTGTCTAATTTGACCTAATTGCAAATATACTTAACTGATTTTCATACAGAAACACAACTGCATATTCATTGAAGCTATCATACTCTTTTATGGTGAAATAAATGCTGTCCGTTTCTAGTTAAGATAACAGCTAATTACTTTAAATATAAGCAAAAGAGTGAATTTTTGTTCATATGCAAAAGATGAGTCTAATCACCCTAGAAAGAGGTCATTGACTTTTTCACAGCTTGCGAACAGTCTAAGCAGCAACAACATAAGTTTCCCCTTGTCATCCAGACAGTTTCCTCATGATGACTTGAGTTTGGGAGGAACCACATTTCTATGGTGAGAGAATCAGTATCTCCATGTTCATTGAATTTTTGTGAAGGCAGTCACCAAGATCACTAGTTGCAGTGATGTGGGCAGCTGTCCGGTAGTGACTGAACTGACACTAAAAGCATGCTTTGCTGAAAGATCCTAATAGCTATCAAAGTTTACAACTGAACTTGAAGGTAATTTAAGATTAAATATTCCATGCGCCATCATCCATCCCCTGCCTGTCCTCCCATTTATCCTGTTTGCTACCCTGACCAGCATATTTCAGTACATAATACATAAAATGTATAAAACTACTAGTGTAATTTGTATGTACGTGTTGTAGCCATATTGGTACAAGGTCATTAGAATCAATGTGAATGGAGTAATATCTTCTATAGGACCAAGGTCTGTTGGGGAGAGACAAGCTTTTGAACTCACCCAGCCACAAACCTAAAGAGTTGTCAGCTTGGAAGCTTGTCTTTCATCAACAGAAGTTGGCCCATAAGATATTCCTTCATCCGCCTTGTCTTTCTAGGTGATATTTGGCCGATTCTACAGAGCTAGAAACTAGTTCTACAGAGCTAAAACACTTTGTTTTACAGGTAGGTACAGGTAGAGCAGTAGAAGGCACTTCTGCACTGGGATTTCAAAATCTGGAACTACATGCACATAAATCCTTTTTCTGTTGTTCCTGCATCTCCTTTTCTCTGTGTAACATGAACGTTTTACGGAGCTGATGGTACCACCTTACTTTCTGGAATTTGTTTTAAAAAACATTCTTTGCAGACCTTTTTTGAGGCTGAAAGCTTTTGAAATGCAAAGCAAAACGTTAAAGTTTATTCAGTGAAAACATGTCACAAATGCAAGTAATAATTCTTTGAATAAACATCTGAAAGATTAGTATTGAAACAAAAACCCCACAGATTCCCAAAACATTTTATTTATAAATTTTCACACTTCCAGGAACTGAATTTTCAGTAGAGATTTCTCCCCCATCCTTTCCATATTTGCTATTGAAAAGGGAAGAAAAAGGGGAAACAATGAGTTAAAAAGCAAGATTTTTTTTTTTTATGCAACTTTAATTTAGGCCTCTTGTTTGAAAATTTTCAGCCAGCTCTAATAGCTAAAACAAATACTTTGTTTTTTTACCTATTTCTCTGAAAGTAATTTCAGAGCTTAATACAATGCCTAAAATTCGGGACGTCAACATGTGGACTACTACATGATTAATCAATAGACCTGGTCTTATCTGTTAATCATGTCGACTACATGACTGTATTAGAGGCAGCAAGGGGTGGGAGGTGGGAACTGGTGCCTGTAGAGAGCCAGTTGTCCCTGTCCCCTTTGCTGTCACGCTGCTGGCTCTGATAGAGGCAGCAGCACAGAGAGTGAGGATGGCAGGGTGGAACCAATATCCAAGTTGGAACTTAATCAGGACATGGAGGATAACACCCTGGTTCTCATGGAGAAACCTCTGTCTGAGGGAAGCTCTGGCTCGCCGCGGACAGGGGCTGCTGCCACCCCATGCTGCTGCACCTGGTAGAGAAGCAGCAGTGTGCGGTAGCAAGGGGCTCCCAGGTAGTGCGGCTGGGAGTGCACTGGCTGCTGGCCTTGTCACCAGGGACTATCAGATAGTGGTGTAACCGCTAAATTTTGACGCAGTTACACAGCTATTCAATTACATGCTATCTAACATCCCTACTTAAAATGCTTTTTTTGCTAACTTTAATTTTAAAGCTGCATGCATCCATGCAAGTTACATTTTGTAAGGAAAATGAGTATATTTACTTAGAGTGCTGTGCTTGTAATTTATTTTCGGATTAATGAACGTATATGAACAGATGAAAGTTTCTGCCTTTTTTTAAGTTAGCTCATTGCATGCTGTAAGTCAGCTTTTGTAAGGATCTATTTATTTTTAAGTTTGTGTTCCTACCTTTGGAGATGCTTGTAAGAACTTGAGGTTCTATATGATCTCTGCACACTTGATAAAGTTCTTTAGGTCTTACAGAATTTAGAAGCCATTGAATAGTCCTGATTCTAAGGGGCTTTCAAATGGCTGCAAACTTAGATTTTATATAGACTGTATAGTGCAAAATTATATAAAGGCAAAGAAGGTAGATTTTTTTTAAATGCTTAACATTTGAACAAATTGTTTATTACATGGACATGATGTAATGATTAAAATGTACTTTGTCACACTATTTAATCACTGTTTGTTAGAGCCCAACTTGTATATAATTGTGTTCATAATGTAGTTTGCAGAAATTGTATGCATTGTGGAAATTACATATCGAAGACAAATTTGGCTTGGCACCTTATAGGTCACTTTTATATGTAGGTTTAAAAATGCAACCCGGAAACTGTTTGTTTTTTAATTATAAAACATGGAGCTTGTTTTTAACTTTAATACTACTGTACTGAGATATTAGTTAATAAACAGTGTGTTGACTTCATTTTTATGTGGTGAAACTTTAGTATCTACTTTCGTTTATCAGTTTTATTTAAATATTTCCATCTCAGGATTAAGGATGTTAAAATAAATCAACTAATCAAATAGTCAATGTATTTTCGATAAGGGCACTTCCACTTTGAAATGTAGCAACAGCTGGGTGGGCTCTTGCTACCTTTCAAAGACCAAAGTGCTGCATGGAGCTTGGAGCCAGCAGGGGACTCTGAGCTCCTCACTGGCCCTGGGCTCCATGCCATGCTTCTGCTTTGAAATGTACAAGAGACCCAGTGGGGACTCTTGTTCATTTCAAAGGTGGAACGCCGCAACTGCTCCCTAGCCCCCTCCCACGGAGCTGGGGGAAACTGGCTTTTAAGATGGCTACCCCCAGCACTCCCTACTCTCCCCAGCCCCCTTGCTGCGTCTTTCTGATCGGGAGGAAGCAACTAGTCGACTAGTGTGTCATCCATCCGATGTCGCTTGCATCTCTGCTCATGATAGAATTTTATTTTTCTGGCTTATATGAATTAGAGATAATTATGCTGCTTAGATGTGGAGTGAATGAACTAGGTGACAAAGACTATCCTGTGCCTTAACTATAATACTTTATTCCTTGGAGATCCTAAATTTTCTGGTGATCATGTTTGCTCAGATGGTTGGCTTTAATTTTGAGATTTGATATATTTTTATTATTAGAATTAATTTGAAAATTCCTGTTTCAAGAACCTAGCTTTGTTACTGAGTTTCATGTTGTAACTGTTCTTGGTAATTTTAAATTAGTGCTTCAGAGAAGAGATTAATACTTGATGAAATTATTGGGATTGGTTAGAATATTACACTCTCTGATTCTTTAATTGCCATCGTTAATAATTTAAACATTATTGGATTTACATCCATTTGGAAACTCATCAGAAGTTCACAATGTGAAATGCCGTTATGATGGCAGTGACTTGTACAGGTAATATCGAAAGTGAGCCCTCTGTATTCCTGGTCCACCAACTCAAGAGACTTTCAGGAAACAAACACCAATGGAGATGTTGGCACTAGTAGTCAAGATCACTTTGGAACCCTCTTACTTATTGACTATTGAAGAAACTTGCCTTATCCCCATATGCAGATTCCATGTTGGAGTTTTAAAGGCATAGCACATCACATGGATAAGCAGGAAGTTTGGTATCATAGGGCAACCACTTTGTGCAACTAGAAACATCCACAAAGGTATTAAATTGCAAACTTCATAGGGGTAAAAGATACAAGTCACAGAGTATTTAACATTGTTTTAAAGTTAAGTATTGGAAATGGTGCTGCTTGCTTTCATAGACAAAATTCCCTTATAAAAAACAAAACAAAACCTAAAAGCTGTTAAATTTGTTGCTGGATGGATACCACAAATAGTTTTGTGTTTTTTCTTAAAACTTCCTTAGGGAAATCTGTTAATCTTCCTATAAACCCCTTAGTATACTTCTTTTTCTGTGCACTCTCCCCCACCACCAGGCCAATCAGGGTTTGGGGACGGGGGAGCGTGTGACATCTCCTCCCGCCACGCGAGCAGCACATGGTGCTTCAAAGCTTGGCAAACTCCCGAACTGGCCTGGGAACAGGTGAACGGCAGGGCCTCCGCAGGCTGAATCAACCCACAGAGGCCCTTTGGCCCACCCCTGTATTACCTGAAGCCCAAGTTACATGTTACACGAGATTACGTAGCAAGGATGAACATTAAGGATACGTCTAGACTACAGGGTTTTGTCGACAGAAGTTTTGTCGACAGTATCTGTCGACAAAACTTCTGTCGACAAAACCCTGTAGTCTAGACGTATCCTTAATGTTCATCCTTGCTACGTAATCTCGTGTAACATGTAACTTGGGCTTCAGGTAATACAGGGGTGGGCCAAAGGGCCTCTGTGGGTTGATTCAGCCTGCGGAGGCCCTGCCGTTCACCTGTTCCCAGGCCAGTTCGGGAGTTTGCCAAGCTTTGAAGCACCATGTGCTGCTCGCGTGGCGGGAGGAGATGTCACACGCTCCCCCGTCCCCAAACCCTGATTGGCCTGGTGGTGGGGGAGAGTGCAAAGCCTCTTCCTGCCCTTCCAGGGGCATGGAGGCCTAGTGGGAGGGGGGTAAAAGGGGTCCCCCACCCCCAGACCAATCATGGGGATGGGGAAGCCCAGAAGCATCCTGACCCCACCCCTTCCGGGGCAGCCAGAAATTATTGCCCAACCCTGAGGTAATGACTCATAATCCTGTTGTTACTACTAACTGTTTTCAAATATCTATGGATTAAGAAAATGTATACTTAGGACAGCTATTTTCTTATACACACAATTTAGTACAGGTTGGACCTCCCTTGTCTGACATCCTTGGTACCTGGCTGGTCCTGGATGAAGGATTTTGCTGGACCAGGGGAGGTCACTTCTAGTACTGCTGCTCCAGGCTTCTCCCAGCCCTGGCTCAGTTGCTGACCCCACCCGGCAGCCCTGCTGCCCTTCTGCGCTCAGCTTCCTGTCTATCAGGAGTCTCCGGTCCTGGTGCAGAAACATGGATGTTGCTGGACCAGAGACCCAGTTTAGGAAAGTGCAACCGGTAG